CCCATGTAGCTGTGCAATAACAGATAACTTTTAATAGTAATTTACTACTGGCTTCAATCAGCCAGCAATAGATGAATATAGCAGTTATCTGCTGCTGCTCTTTCTCAGCCTACATACTAAGAGGAAGTACTGTGACGTCACTTGTCATTACACTCCCGATGTAAACACGTTTACATTGATCTACTATAAGAACTCCTATGGTATGTGGTAAGATCCAAATCCCTGAAGATGATTATTTCAGCTCCTGGGCTTAGTGCTGGACGTCGGCTGTCACTGACAGCGGGTGGTTCCATCCTGAACCCTGGCCCCTCCCTCCAGAGCCACTGTAGTTAGAGGAATAGGAAAAAAACAGACTTTTTTGTATTCACAGACATATTTTCCATTTGTAATTTATTTTTATCCTTCTTGCAGTATTTCGGAATTACCTTAATAAATAAATGATGTCTCCGTAAGTCACAATGTCTGGATATTAAGGATATCCTTGAAAAGGGAACAAAGCATCCTGCTGGGCCAAGAATACACAGCAATATGAGAGTGGACACCAGCCAGGAACCCTTTGCTTGGTGTGAGCGGACTCCTTGGAATTATTTCTATATTTAGGATGTTTGGAATGTACAATAGCCAGTATATAATAACTATTGGTGGGCCATGCCCCAAGGTTCTTGTAGTGACTCGTTGTTGTTGACATTATACTCAAAGGTAACAGGTTGTCCTTATACTGGTCAGCACCATCCAGGGGCGCTAGTGCCGTGCAAACTGCAACTTTTATAAATGAACCCCTTACTGTTGACTGACTCACCACCTCTGCTGGAAGTCTGTTCCAACCATCAACTAATATTTTGGTAAAATAACACTTTGTAAGGTTAGTTTTTGAACTTTTCTCCCGCTAGTTTGAAATCATGTCCCCGTGTTCTTGATCTTAGCTTCATATTAAAAATCCTGCCCTCCTGAACCTTATTCACACTCTTGGGGCCCATTTATAGGATTGCATTGCAGCATTGCACATTACCTGCTTTGGTGTAATGCAATGCCATTCATTCTGAACCACACCTTGTTGGCACATGTGTGTTGTGGTCTGGTGGTCTGCCAGAAATGGTTGAGTGAGTTTTGGTGCACTGGCAACCCAGAGAAATTGAATGAGTTTTGGTGCACTGGCAACCTATTCATTTTGAATGGGCTGTGTTAATGCAATGCAGATTGGTGCATGGCGTGTCACTGCAGCACGGTGGTGAGAATGGACTCTCAATGTATTTAAAGTTTTCAGCCATGTGTGACCAATTTGTCAGTTTACAGCAGGGTCTGAGAGCTTGGAAGAAACAAATGGTCCAGATCCCCCATGTCCCAGACCCCACATGATCCAAAATCACCATGATCCAGACCCACCATGATCCAAAGCCCCATAATTCAGAAACCCCATAATCCTGACCTTACCATTATCCAGAAACTTCCACATGATCCAGACCCCACCATTATCCAAACCCCCATGATCCAGAAACCCCATGATACAAACCCCCCATGAGCTTACCCCCATGATCCAAACCCTTATGATCCGGACCCCAACATGATCCAGACCCCCATGATCCAAACCCTTATGATCCAGGCCCCAACATGATCTAGATCCCACCATGATCCAAATCTCCCATGATCCAGAATTTTGGTGCGATGGCAACCCACTAATTTTAAATAGGCTGCACTAATGCAACACACATTAATGCACAGCATAACACATGCCAATGCACCACAATGGTGAGACTGGACCCTCAATGTATTTAAAGGTTTCAGCCATGTTCCCCTTTCCTTTCTTACCTGGAGACTGTACATTAAGTTCCCGCAGTCTCTCCTGATGTATTTTATCCCTCAGACCTTTCACCATTTTTGCTTTCCATCTCCAAACTCATTCTATCTTATCAATATCTTTTTGTAAGTGAGATCTCCAGAACTGGACACAGTCCTGGAGACCTCACTTGCAAGAAAGATATTAATAAATCAGAACGAGTCCAGAGAAGAGCAACAAAAATGGTTACCCATCTGTAGACTCTACTTCCTGTCCGGTGAAATTGTTGTCAACAGGACGGGAAGTGAGGGGAAAACTCTTGAACGGAAACCCTGGATAGCAGTAAAACCCTGACAATGGGGGAGGAATGTAACCCTTTCCCCCTCTATATCCAAAACAAAACAAAAAAGTTTGGAATGGACACCCACTTTAATTTACACATGAACTATTTATGACAACGTGACAAATTAGGATCAGGCTTTACCTTTTTGGTTGACTTGCTCTCCTCCTCTGGGTCGCCTCCAGTAGGCAGCCATAGCATATTGGGAGCTATGCAGAGAGCGAGATTCAAAGCTGTCATTTGGTTTTCTTCTGAATTCTTCCCGATGTGATTCAGCACAGCAAACAAATGTTGCAGCAAATTGAAATTCGCTTCAGGGAGCTGATCCAACAAACTAGGGATGGAACAATAGGGGTCAGTAGATGAAGAAGAAAGATGCATGTGCTGCTGGCAAACCCAAAAAGCTGGGTCACCGTCTAGAAAGACCAGGTGCCAAAAGCCAGGCAGGGGCCCCAATCAACAAAACCATCCCGGAAGAGAAAGCAGGTGGCTTTCTCCCGTTAAAATTCCATGCTGGGTAAACTTTATTAACTTGGACAAACGGACAAAGGAACTTCACCTGGGGACCTCCTTCTATGACGCGTTTCATTTATAAGGTTGAGCTTAATCGTAGAGGTTACGTAGAGGTAAATCCATGATTCCAGCCAACCTTGTGGGTGAAACATGTCTAAGAAGGAGGTTCCCAGGCGAGGATACTCTGTCCATTTGTCTGGATCAATAAAGATTAACTGGCGTTGAATTTTATTGGAGTGCTACTGGCTTTCTTATCCTGAATGGGTCATTCTGTGTGAATAACCCACCTTTTCGTTAGAATGGGGCAAAATCAAATGTTTTTAGGCCATTTGCTCTTCTGGTTGAATGTTCTTCAAACATGATAGATAAATACATGTTTGTAACAAGAGATACAATGTAACAATTCTAGAGAACGCTGGAGGGTTACCAAGACGTATTTATTTCCTGTGATCCCCACCGCCAGCTAGTGGCCATAATGGGGTGTTTTCTCCATTAACTCTATGTTCTTCATAAAGGAACCTAGCTTTGAAGAACATTCGGTCAGGAGAGAAATAGACCAAGAACATTAGATTTTGTCCCATTCACACAGCAGCTGGTTAACTTGCACAGAACCAATGTGCCTGCAGTATCCTCTCTGAGGACTAGAAAACCCCTAACCTCTATGTTATAATGGAGAACAAGAGGTGTTCTCTATTCTTGTGCTAGGGTGACACTGCTGATACAGTGAGTGTTGTCACTCTTCAACAGGAAGTGTTTTTTCCCCAGGAATTATGGAACATTTCTCATTGCTACAGAGGACCTAGATATCCTAACCATCTGTGTTCTATAACTTATCTAAACCCAGGAACAAAAACGTTCTTAGATGTGGTGGTTGCAGCGTTTGTTTTCTTTTTTTCAACCTTGTTTCCTTTATTTCCACCTGGTGGTCGCACCAGTAACACACTTCCTGTCCTAGGGTGACAACGCGCAATGCACTGTGTCTATGGCTGAGCATTAACATTCCCTACACAATGCCCCATGCAGAAAGGGACATTCAACTATGCTCCCCTTCAGCAGCTAGAAGCGCACAGCTCTGCGCCCTCCCAGCTGTAATGCTAAAAACCACAAACAGAAAAAGAACACAGCGCTCTCTTGGGAATGTGGGGTCTGTGTAGGTGCAAATGATCTGGATTGCTGCTCTAAGAACAGGGGGAGAAACCTGTGGACTAGGAAAAAAGAAGGGGGAAATTAGAGCGCAAATCCTGGGAATGTGGGGGGTATAGGGACAGCCAGTGTCTATATGTGACGGGTGGAAGAACAAAAATTTGTCAAATCACAAAAGGTGAAGGACTTACTTGTGGAGCCGAGGCCCTTTTGGAGTGTTGGCAGTGCGAGATGTATTCGGTGTCTCCCAGCAAGTGGAGGGGTGGATGAAGGAGGAATCAATGTGGACTGAATGCTGTATGTGCCAGGGGACTGGTGAAGAAGCTGCCTATGGTCTTGATGGCAGTGTTCTTAGGACGTGATGGAGTGAAAGGGCTGGGAGAGGACGTGCAAGGAACAGTGATCACCTCGAAACGCGTCGCTCCTTTACCACTGTTCCTTGCACGTCCTCTCCCAGCCCTCGGTCCCTTTCACTCCATCACGTCCTAAGAACACTGCCATCAAGACCATAGGCAGCTTCTTCACCAGTCCCCTGGCACATACAGCATTCAGTCCACATTGATTCCTCCTTCATCCACCCCTCCACTTGCTGGGAGACACCGAATACATCTCGCACTGCCAACACTCCAAAAGGGCCTCGGCTCCACAAGTAAGTCCTTCACCTTTTGTGATTTGACAAATTTTTGTTCTTCCACCCGTCACATATAGACACTGGCTGTCCCTATACCCCCCACATTCCCAGGATTTGCGTTCTAATTTCCCCCTTCTTAATGCTAAAAACCAGAAGCCTTGCTGCACTCCTTACCGGAACATCAGAGAGACCCGTGCAGACGGGTGGGTGCTTGTAGTGACAACTAACGGCACCGTGAGTAACACAGAAGAAGAAATGATGCCACCAGCACACAGTAAGAGTAATTAGCAAAAGTCCATTTAATGACACATTGCCATTCAATTGAATGGCAATGTGTCATTAAATGGACTTTTGCTAATTACTCTTACGGTGTGCTGGTGACATCATTTCTTCTCCTAGCTGTGTGTCCCAACTGTCACTGATAAGTACGGGTTTTGACGTACACTGATCATGTGATCAGATGTCTCACAGTCACAGAACAAAGAATCTAAAGTCATTCAAAACCGAAAATAGAAAGTTCTAAGCAGGTAAATAACTGACCTCTTTATGACTTTTATCCTTTTTTTGGGTTGCTCAAATTCTGGGACTTCCATCCAAAGCCCATACATGTCTGAGGATAGAATACTGTCAGGAAGATTGCGGAGAAAATCCTAAACCAAACACATATATACACAGTAGGAGAGTCAGCGTGTTGTAGTACTAATAATAAAGAAAACATGGAAGACAATAGGACAGGCGAAGCCTAATCTAAAGATTCATGCTATAGGTTCAATTCACAAAGCTGAAGCACAAGGATCCTTATTTTTTTTTTTTTAAGTGACAGTTAACTGAAGCTTAATGGGGACTGTATTTGTCTTTGAAATAATAAATGAATTACCTTAGCATTAAATATACACTGTATGGCCAAACATTTGTGGACACCTGACCATCACAACTTTATGAACATGTTGGACATGCCATTCAAAATCCATGGGCGTTAATATGGAGTGGCCCCCATGGCATCTATAACACCCAGCTCTTCTGGGAATGCTTTCCACAAGATTGTGGAGGGTGTCTGTGGGAATTTTGGGCCCATTGGTGAGGTCAGGTACTCATGTTGGATGAGAAGACCTGGCTCACCATCGGTTATCCAATTCATCCCAAAGGCATTCACTAGGGTTGAGATCAGGGCTCTGTGGAGGACACTTGACTTCCTCCACACCAAACTGGTCACACCTTATCTTTATGGAGCTGACTTTGAGCATGAGAATACCTGGCTCCAATTCAACCCAAAAGTGTTCAGTAGGGTTGAGGTCAGGGCTCTGTGGAGGACACTCAAGTTCCTCTACTCCTGCCAGCTGCCCAATCAGTAATGTTTTAAAGCTCACCTACTGCTTGCTAAGAATATGTAAGTAGTCAATTGGCCAAAACTCAACTCGCAGTTCTACTTTAAGGACAACATCTCACTCATTAAAACAAGGAATATTTTTGTGAAACATCTATTCATGTAATATTTAGGATTCCATTATGTACCGTAATCACTGCAGCTGCCACAAACACAGATTCTCCATCAATCTGGACATCATCCCCAGATAACAACTTCTCCTTGAGCTCTTTGCACGTTTTGGCGTTGGCTGAGCGGCGGAAGATACCCCTCGTGGTCGGCCCTTCTTCATATAACAGCAGGAGCATATCCTGGAAATGTTCAGCAAGGTGATGTGAGTAGCAAATTTACCCTGAACTAGAAATACACAAATATCTTACTGTCTTCTGTTAGAAGATATCAAGTCTTAGATGTCTGGTCCCTGTGCATCATCATCATCAGTAGTCCAGATCCTACTTTGACTGGATCTCGTATTTAGGAATAAGCGGCCAATTTGGGCAGCATATGACAGATTTCACCATGCTGAGATTTCATCTGAATTAGTCTCTAATTTTAGAGGAACGGCTAGGCCAAATTAGCTATAGGTTCCCCTTTAAAACTGGGAGTGCACAGTGCCATGGCTTTGTTTATCGATAATGCGCTGACATTGCAATGACATGACTTTGTTTGTAAACGAAGGGCTAGGGTTACCATTAAGGTAAGAACTAGCATTGGGGTTATCATTAGCATAAGACCTAGCCTTAGGGAGGTTACCATTAGGGTAAGAGTTAGTATTAGGGTTACCATTAGAATAGGACCTAGCTTTAGGACTACCATTAGACTAAGATCTAGGGAAAGAGCTAGCGTTAGGGTTACCATTAGGATAAGAGCTAGCTCTAGGGTTACCATTAGGATAAGAGCTAGCTTTAGGTTTACCATTAGGATAAGAGCTAGCGTTAGGGTTACCATTAGGGTAAGATCTAGGGAAAGATCTAGCTTTTGGGTTACCATTAGGGTAAGAATTAGCGTTTGGGTTACTATAGGGGCAACAGCTAACGTTAGGTTACTGTTAGGGTAAGAGCTAGCATTAAGGTTACAATTAGAGTAAGAGCTAACATTTGGGTTACTATCAGGGTAACAGCTAACAATTGGTTACATTAGGATAAGAGCTAACTTTAGGTTTACCATTAAGATAAGAACTAGCATTAGGGTTACCATTAGCATAAGACCTAGCCTTAGGGTTACCATTAGAGTAAGGTCTGGGGTAAGAGCTAGCGTTAGGGTTACCATTAGGGTAAGAGTTAGCTTTAGGGTTACCATTAGGGTAAGAGCTAGCGTTAGGGTTACCATTAGAATAGGACCTAGCTTTAGGGCTTCTATTAGAGTAAGAGCTAGTGATAGGGCTACCACTAGGGTAAGAACTACCATTATGGTTACCATTAGGTTAAGAGCTAGTGTTAGGATTACCAGCATAAGACCTAGCCTTAGGGTTACCATTAGGGCAAGAACTAGCATTAGGGTTACCATTAGAATAGGACCTAGCCTTAGGGTCACCATTAGAATAGGACCTAGCCTTAGGCCTTGTTTACACCAAGCGCGGAGCAGAACCAGACCAGAGCAGGTGCAGACCGGATCAAAACTGCGTCCAATGTATTCCTATGGTATTTTGACCTCCAGTTCACATTGCAGCGTGCGGATCCAGACCAGATCCAGAGCAGGTGAAAAAACTGCGGCAAGCCCTATTTTACCTGCTCTGGATCTGCTCTGGAACGCATCAAAAACGCATCAAAAACGCATGCAAGTGCCTGAAAGCCCATGTTAAACTTTTTAAAAAAAAGATTTTTTTTTTTTTTTTTACCAAATCCGGCTCGGAACGCATCAAAAACGCGGCACAACCCACTGCACTGCGTGTGCAGAAACCTGACCGGCACTGCTCTGCATTTGGTGTGAACAAGGCCTTAGGGTCACCATTAGAATAGGACCTAGCCTTAGGGTCACCATTAGAATAGGACCTAGCTTTAGGACTACCATAAGGGTAAGAGCTAGTGATAGGGCTACCATTAGGGTAAGAGCTAGTATTAGGGTTACCATTAGGGTAAGAACTAGTGATAGGGTTACCATTAAGGTAAGAGCTAGTGATAGGGTTACCATTAGAATATGACTTGAGCTAGTGATAAGGTTAACATTAGGGTAAGAACTAGTGATAGGGTTACCATTAAGGTAAGAGCTAGTGATAGGGTTACCATTAGGGTAAGAGCTAGCGTTAGAGTTACCATTAGGGTTACTATGAGCGTTTGCATTTTTGGCACAAGAACCCTAACTCCGGGATAGTCGAAAGGAGCTTCCCTAAACCTCGATGGCCATATAGAACCAACTGCAGCCTTCGAAAACATCTTAATTTCACCCTGAAGCCTGATAAAGCTATGGGAGGTTTAAAAATATAAGTGATGTATACCTTATCATTTTTTTGGATGCATTAGGTTCAGTTAACCCCAGGACAAGGATCATTATTTTCATATCCTTATCCTGGTGCATTAGTGTCCCCATAGAAGGAGGGGCACCATGTTTTTTTACCATCCAGGACATACTGTATATCAGATGGTTTCCATTTGGATGGTTTGGATTTTATGTCGGGCAACACACCACTAAGTTAACCAAGATTCCAAGAAACCCCCCGATAAGGCCTATATGGGAACGTGACACCCTTGTGTAGAGAGGTAATTTTTGTATTAGCTGTTATCTAAAATGACCACCTGCTTCAAACCGATCACATTATCCCTTAAGCTGGCCATACGATAGTCGAATTTTGGCCGGGTCTTGCTGACTTCGTCGAAATTCGACCAGTCTGTGGCCCAGTTGGCACCCTTGCATTTAGTTGAGTTAGTCCAAAAATTCTTGGTCAAACAGTGATGTTAGCCAATGCACCTACCACTGTTAGAATACAGTAGCATGGCAGGTAGGAATCCCTCATGCGCATGCTTAGTGTGGATGGGGGGAGGGGGGGGGGGTTGAGAGTTTTTAACTATAAGGGTCTGATGTATAAAGCTTCCACCCAGCGTATAGTTGAGTAAATGCCATTTACGCCATTTTATTTCCACTAGGTGGAGCTGAGGAGCATAGCAAATGCTTGTCAGCTCCATCTAGAGACCATAAAGACATGTGGAGGGCATTTGCCCAGCCATACACTGGGTGGAAGGTACATCAGCCCCCAAGCATATGGCCAGCCTTAGTCTCCAGTCTACAAAATATGGAACACCTACAAGTGATTACAGCCAACGTTAGAGGGTCTTATGCTTACCATGATGGGCTTGGGTAGATTCCCATTGGGACACACTGACGACAGGGAATGACCAAAGAGCTTGCGTGGTGTGAGGGGTGATTGGGAAGAAGGTGTGCTCAGCGTGGCGCTGCCACTACGACGTAAAGCCCAGTCTATCAGCGACTTTTTCCTCCTGCGTTGCTTTTGGGCAGACTCTGAAAAAGAAATTCCATGTGTTAAAATGCAATTGAGGGATTGAAACATCCTGTTTTTTCTCTCTGAATACTGACATTGTTTCCTGTTTGATTGGATTCCAGGTCTGCATAATCAGTCCTGACAAGCTGTCGATAGGGGATATGAGTTTTAAGAATAACCAATTCATGAACAGCCTCACATGAAGGGTGACAACACAGGACCACAGAGGGGAGATATGGACACAGCGTTGTCACCCTACAACAGGAAGTGACTGAGCAAGGGTTAGGTCTGGAGATATGGAAAATGACACATTCGATTTTATATGAGATTTTAGTGCTCGGGTTTAGATATACTTTAAACACATTAGCGAATATGCTGATACCTACCCCTCCTCACATCCACGGCGCCCTGGGGCCTAAGCTTAACGATGAACTGGCACTGTCTTTCGTGAGGGATCTGTTCAAGAATGCCGTCTGCACTGTGTTCTGGAGAATGGTTATTGTTGAGTCCTCTGGCCATAACCACCGATTCCTGGAGGCAGTTCATTGCAATACTGTAAGGGTATTCATGACCTGAAAAGACAGAAGGTACTGTAAGAGCAGCAGCAACCATAGAGAAGGAAAGTGAGACTTAAGATGTGATAACTGTAGGCAAACAGCCAAATTCACGGGGGAAATGCATATAGTGGAGATGTGTTAGTTTGTATTTCTGTCTATCCAGTTCTGAGATTTACACAGCACAGCCAGGTAGATAACACCAGTTAGGTAATACATTGGTGTCTTCTCTCCAACCCCAGCCCGATGACTGGAGAGATGAGGTCATCCTTCTGCTCATTCTGCTCTCTTCTCTATACTTATTTTCTATGCTTCTCAGCTCCATCTAGTACTTGTCAAAATGACCTGTTTTTACAGGGGGTCGGGGGGCAAAAAAAAGCTCCTTGCCTGTGTAGGCAAGAATCCTAGCACCGGCCCTGCATACATACCTTTGAAGCATGGGAGGAAACCCACGCAAACACAGGAAGAACATGCGAAGTCCTTGCAGAAAGTGAAGTGGCCAGGATTTGAACCGGGGATTACAAGGCAGAAGCGCTAACCACTACGCTACCCATGGACTTATTATGATGGATAGTTTCTACATATTGCAGTTTAAGGAAATGAAACACAAATGAGGAATACGAGTTTTCAAATCCAGAAAGCGTGAGTGGATTGATGGAAGGGAATATCACTTCATAACTGATACTATACATAGCTGATAGCACATGTGGTGACCATACACCCTTATCAGGTATTCAGTGGAGGTCTTACCGAAAAGAGGATATGGAGGCTCATCCTTCCCGGATGTCACCCACAGATGGTAGTCACTCTGTCTGCCCTGCACAATGAAAACAATTCTCAAACATTTTGCACTGGGAGCAGACATATTCATTTCCTAAATAAATACACAATATGGCCAAAAGTATGTGGACCCCCCTCCAAATAGTTGAGTTCAGGTGTGTACAGTGAAGGGAACTGTCAATATATGTGCTATATGGCCAACAGAGTGTGGACACCTGACCATCACACCTACTATATGGCCAGCACAGTGTGGACACCTGACCATAACATCTGCTATATGGCCAACAGAGTCTGGACACCTGACCCTCACATCTACCAATATGGCCAAAACTATGTGGACCCCCTTCCAAATGATAGAGTTCAGGTGTCTCCAGTGAAGGGTACTGGTAATATATGTGCTATATAGCCAACAGAGTGTGGACACCCGACCATCACACCTACCATATGGCCAACACAGTGTGGACACCCGACTATCGTACATACTAGATGGCCAACAGAGAGTGGACACCTGAACATCACACCTACTATATGGCCAACAGAGTGTGGACACCCGACTATCGTACCTACTATATGGCCAACAGAGAGTGGACACCTGAACATCACACCTACTATATGGCTAACAGAATGTGGACAACCAACCATTACACCTACTATATGGCCAACAATGTGTGGACACCTGACCATCATACCTACTATATTACCCACAGAGTGTGGACCCCTGACCATTGTACCTACTATATGGCCAACAGAGTGTGGCCACCTGAACATCACACTTACTTTATGGCCAACAGAATGTGGACACTTGACCATCACATCTACTATATGGCCAGCACAGTGTGGACACCTGGCCGTCACATCTACCAATATGGCCAAAACTATGTGGACCCTCCTCCAAATGATAGATTTCAGGTGTCTCCAGTGAAGGGTACTGGTAATATATGTGCTATATGGCCAACAGAGTGTGGACACCTGACCATCAGACCTACTATATGGTCAGCAGAGTGTGGACACCTGACCATCACACCAACTATATGACCAACAGAATGTGAACACCTGACCATCACATCTACCTATATGGCCAAAACTCCACCTCCTCAATTCCATAAAACACACAAAAAAAGGGCTTTTTCCCGCTCACGCACTGTGCAATGAATTCAAGAGAAGTCCTGCAGACCGCTCCGAGTTCTAACAATTTATTTATCAAAAAAACATTAAGGTCATAAACAACTCTGCTAATCCGTTTCAGCCATGAACAGCTTTAATAATAGCTATGATTAAGACCGTTCATGGCTGAAACGGATTAGCAGACTGTTATTGGTCAGTAGTTTAATAAATTGTTAAAAACTCAGAGCCATTGGCCGACTCTTGTTCAGATCTTTGCAGAAGGAAACCTTCTGCTTCTTGTCAGCAGTACCGGATCACTTACTTCTGGTGACTTTTAGCCTAATGGTGGTTCATTCAACCTTGTTCTCTTCTACATACAACTTTAGTTTAAGAGAAGTGCAACTCTTACAGTCAAAGCACAGAATCAAGCATATAGCTATAAAAAGAACGGCCAGTATGTTATGTTCACTTACAGGAAGTTCGAGCTGTTGAGACACAACTTTTATCACTTTTTCAGCAGGGTCCATGTTAGACACAGTGACCGTGGTACTCTGCAGAGACAAAGAACATCAACATAATGTAAAAACATAATAGAGGCTCTATATATAAGACACTCATATTGCATGCTCATGGCACCCTATAACTGCGCAATTACACTTCATTTGACCAAAACATTGTGTATATATATTGTAACAAGGACACTCGACTGTAGTCCAGGAAATTCAAGTAAAACGCAGTTTATTAAGGGCAAACACCAAAAGTCTCCATTCATCCACAGGGTAATCTTCCCCAGTTACACAAGAAGAGCCAACATTCTCATAATAATAAGCTTTTCTGCAGCATATACAGTCCTTAGTAGCATATACAGTCCATATGTAGCATATACAGTCCTCTGCAGCATATACAGTCCTTAGTAGCATATACAGTCCTTTGCAGCATATACAGTCCTTAGTAGCATATACAGTCCTTAGTAGCTTTCCTCAGCTCTAAGCCTCTCAGCACACCTCTGTGTGATACTCACACTACTCTCCCAGCAATGTGTCCAACAGGTCCTAGGGTCACCGACCTTCCTGACCTCTCCCAGCCTCCCCCGACTGCTCCTCGTGCGTCCAGCATGCACCCGGGTCTGCTGTGCCTCTGTGCCTCCTACACCCACACAACTCTCACCACTCTGAGCACTGGGCTGGCTTCTAATATGGCTGCTCTCAGCCACTTGATCAGCCCAAGCTGGTCATTGGCAACACCTGGCCCCAGGACTAAAGATCTGATCCCACCCAGAGCTCTAAAGGTGCCCATACACTGTACGATTATCGTACGAGAATCGCGGGAAATCCCGCGATCGTACGATAATCGCAAAGTGTATGGAAGGCGTGCAAACGTTTCTACTGTACGGTCGCACATCTTCCGTCGAACAAGCAGGCTGGAAAACCCGCCGGGAATCGTACGATACTCGGCGAATTAGTGGCCTGCTTGTTCGATAACTGCCGAACGGGCCGGTGTGCGCACGCGCACACTGCCCGTTTGCAGTCATCGGAAGCCAGCCCCTCACTGCAGTCATTGGAAGCCCGCCCTCAAGGGGACTGGCTTGCGATGATCGCAAGTACGATCTGCCTGTCCAAGATGGGCAGATCGTACGTTTTAAAATTACAATTGGAGTCTTGGGAATATGAGTCTTCTCCAAAATGCTATTTTCATTGCAGTATAAGATCCCAAAATTCCTTTCATGAGTCTCCACCTTTGTGTCTCTCGGGCCATAAATAGCGTAAGCCATAACTTCGGTAACAAGATTTTAGTGGGAATTGGAGCAGTCCCAACAAACTGGAAATCAGATTAAGTGGCCATGTAAAAAAGAAAAACAAAACGAGAAAGGAGATGGAAGGGTTATACTCACGGACGTGTATTCATCTGCATCCAGATATAAAACACTAATCGCAATTTTTCCAGGGAACTCATCTTTCTTCACTTCTGTAATATGCCTGAAAAATAAAAGAAATAATATGAAAATTCCAAAACCATGGCCGTTAATATGGAGTTGCCCCTGCCCCCTCCAAGGCCGTTAATATGGAGTTGCCCCCCTCTTCCAAGGCCATTAATATGAAGCTGCCCCTGTTCCTCCATGGCCATTAATATGGATTTGCCCCACCTCCTCCATGGCCATTAATATGAAGTTGCCCCCCTCCTCCATGGCCATTAATATGGAGTTGCCCCACCTCCTCCATGGCCATTAATATGAAGTTGCCCCCCTCCTCCATGGTCATTAATATGGAGTTGCAGCTTCCTCCTCTATGGCCATTAACATGAAGTTGCCGCCGTTTCTGGCTTTAACATCCTTCCCTTTTCGAGGAAAGCTTCAACAAAGTCTTTGGAAATTTGTGCCCATTTGTGAGGTCAGGTACTGATGTTGGATGAGAATACCTGGCTCACAATCAGCATTCCAACTCATCCCAAAGGTGTTCAGTAGGGTTGAGGTCAGGGCTCTGTGCAGGACACTCGAGTTCCTTCACCCCAAACTGGTCACACCATGTCTTTATGGAGCTGGCTTTGTATACAGGGGACAGTCATGGTGGAACAGAAAAAGGTCTTCACCAAACTGTTACCACATGGTTGGACGAGCCCAATTGTCTGCAATGTCTTTGCATGATGCAGCATTAACAAAACCCTTCACTAGAGACACCTGAACTCAGTAATGTGGAGGTGGGGGTTCATATAATTTTGTCTAAGTGAAGAAGTTGTGTTGGCCGCATGTCCAAATACTCTTTGGCCATATAGTGTATAACATTCTTGACAGCAAAGCATGAAATTACTGGCAGGGGGAGCCCTTGGTCAATATCAACCTAAAGATCAGTTATGAAAACCCTGCAGCACGTGAAAGAAAGCTAAGAATGAATACAAGGCAACACTATACTTAACAGTGCAACCAAAGTTCTAAAATTCTTATACGTAATATATGCCAACATACAGTATATAATTTAGAAGACTGATTGGAAAAAGAGACCAAGTGGTCCATCAAATTTGTCTGCAGAACTGGACACAGCATTCTAAATGAGCTCTATGAAAAGATCTATATAGAGGAATCAGGACCTCCTTCATCCTGCTGGGGATCCCTCTAATGATAACTAAAGATCTATAAAGAGGAATCAGGACCTCCTTTCCTCCTGCTGGGGATCCCTCTAATGATAACTAAAGATCTATAAAGAGGAATCAGGACTTCCTTCCTCCTGCTGGGGATCCCTCTAATGATAACTAAAGATCTATATAGAGGAATCAGGACCTTCTTCCTCCTGCTGGGGATCCCACTAGTGATAATAAAGATCTATATAGAGGAATCGGGACCTCCATCCTCCTGCTGGGGATCCCACTAGTAATAATAAAGATCTATATAGAGGAATCAGGACCTCCTTCCTCCTGCTGGAGATCCCTCTAGTGATAATAAAGATCTATATAGAGGGATCAGGCCCCCCTTCCTCCTGCTGGAGATCCCTCTAGTGATAATAAAGATCTATATAGAGGGATCAGGCCCCCCTTCCTCCTGCTGGAGATCCCTCTAGTGATAATAAAGATCTATATAGAGGGATCAGGCCCCCCTTCCTCCTGCTGGAGATCCCTCTAGTGATAATAAAGATCTATATAGAGGGATCAGGCCCCCCTTCCTCCTGCTGGAGATCCCTCTAGTGATAATAAAGATCTATATAGAGGGATCAGGCCCCCCTTCCTCCTGCTGGAGATCCCTCTAGTGATAATAAAGATCTATATAGAGGGATCAGGCCCCCCTTCCTCCTGCTGGAGATCCCTCTAGTGATAATAAAGATCTATATAGAGGGATCAGGCCCCCCTTCCTCCTGCTGGAGATCCCTCTAGTGATAATAAAGATCTATATAGAGGGATCAGGCCCCCCTTCCTCCTGCTGGAGATCCCTCTAGTGATAATAAAGATCTATATAGAGGGATCAGGCCCCCCTTCCTCCTGCTGGAGATCCCTCTAGTGATAATAAAGATCTATATAGAGGAATCAGGACCTCCTTCCTCCTGCTGCAGAGCCCTGTAGCATGCAATAATAACACAGACTGTATAAATGAATGGTAATCTACAAATGAGGACATAATAGGGTTAAGAGAATTTCTTTCTTAAAAAAAAAAAAAAGAGATCTTACCAGCTTAACGTGGAGAGCCACTTCTCCTTTGTGTCTGAGGAACTACAAGAGAAAAAAACAATGCAGACAGAAGTGAAGTGACTACCACACATCCCAGTTCCTTCCTCCTACCCCCAACATAATCACAAGGCCCTTCCTGCTTCTATTTTAACATTTGAAACAATGTCCAGCCTGGATTTCCTTCTTCTAATGTCAAGATCTTGAAACTTGCCAAGTCTTCATTTTGTTTATATCTTTATTGACCTGAACATTGTGTTTTCATCTACTAAGTCCCAGAAGCGCTCATATGACAGCAGTGCCCTCTCATATTGCTTATTTGTTCATATTTCTAAGTCAGGCACCAGGAGACATTCCAGTACGTGTGTGCCAACCTGTTAGTGCAAACCTGGGCTACCAAGAAATGGGTTGAATGAAGTCAACAGCTTTTCTTGTCCATGGGGAGGGTGTCACAGAACGACCTGTACCCGACTAAAGGGTCTTAGGGGCACGGGGGATGTGTGTTGGGAGTATCTTATTATGCTCATCAGACACACCCTTATGCCAACTATCCTGAACACATCTATATTTCCATTAGACTAAGCTTCACAATCTGGCAACTGGCATATTATTTGACAAAATTAAATTAGTATTTGTTAGACACCAATTATGGATCTTATCCATATTCCTCTTAGGAGGTCTACTTTGTCCTATGAGCCTTCTTGGCCTTGTAAGCTAGGCGTATTTGGTGTCTAACTGATTGGTATCTTCTTGTACATTAGTGTAACCACTTTTAATGAAGTAGTTACAGTAAGAATTGCGGAGACTGTATGGAACTTAACTCTGTAAAAATTCAGCTGCAGGTCAGTTTATAAATAACCCTGGCATAAGAGATATGTATTGCTCACTTGTTGACGTCAGACGTCATTAGAAGTCTTTTAGTCCTAGTGGAGGTTTATGACATCTCTGCGTTCTTTCATAGCTGGCCTCTGCCAACTGTGTCCCATTCCCTGGCTGCCTAGCACAGATATGAGATATGAATCTGTTTTTGTTACTGAAGAAAATGAGGGTTGAGCTGTGTTCAGTAAAACTAACCCTTCTCTCTATACAGTATTGTCACAGTGAGTATTGCAGCAAAAGCTGCATTTTTTTTGCACTCTTCTGGGCAATGTATTAAAAATACATTGAAACTGATTCTGCTTTAAATAAATGATATTGACCATGAAATAAGCACCATCTGAAATGCACTGATTGCGAGTATCTCAAACCCATGCAGGTAGTATGAGTGACATATCAATGGCATTACCTAAAGGTAACAACATAGTTGGTAGTGGGCCACCCAATAACAAAGGAATCGTCGGTGGAATGCCTTCTTTCCGAAACATCCCAAAGGCTGGTGGAAATCCACACCTCGCTCAACCGAACTTGTTTTTTTAGCTTCATGCTGGAAGAAGACCTTACATGAAGAAAACACATTATGTTATCAGAGAGAAAGCTATACATTAAGCAATTGTACAGTGAAAAAAGAGTACTGATATGCATGGACAGGGCCGGTGCTAGACTATTTTGCCCCCTAGGCAAGACCAGCTACTTACAGCTCCCCTCAGCCCCCCTCCCACGGCACAACCCCCAATCCCCCCCTGCGTGGGCCCATTCTCCTGCTGGCTAGCTCCTGCAGGCGACAGGTGGATGTAAGCAGCCAGGAGCAATAGCCAGACTGCTATTGGCTCTTTTAATTTGAAATAGCCAATAGCAGATGTGCTATTGATATTTGATACCCCACCCACTGAGCAGAGGAGCGGACCTGAGAGAGAAAGTTAGAGTGAGACGCAAGGACACTGAGGGGGAGAGTTGTGGAGTAGAAAGATAGATTTGAGTGTCATCAGCATAGAGATGGTATTGGAAGCCATGTGAGATTATTAACTGACCAAGGGAGGAGGCGCATATAGAGAAGAGAAGGGGTCCAAGCACAGAGCCTTGGGGGACCCCTACAGAAAGAGGAAGAGGAGGGGAGGAGTAAGATTTGTAGGTGACACTAAATGAGCGCTTAGACAGGTAGGAGGAGACACATGAGAGAGCAGATTCTTGGAGGCCAAGCGAGTGGAGTTTTTTGAGGAGGACCAGGGGGTACAGGGGAGTACTGCCACTGAAAGCAGGCACAGAGAGGTACAGGTGAGTACCTCAGCTGGGAGTAGGCACAGAAAATTCAGGTAAGCGCTGCAGCTGGGGGGGTTGGGGTGAAGAGAGCCACGCATTGCTTGAACACCAAGCCACATGTCTCTTAAGGGCCAATCTGGAGCTGCATCCTGGTTGCCCACAGCACAGATAAGGAGGACTGTCTCATGAATGGCCTCAAAACTGGCGTAAGATACATTTCAATTCAGGGCTCATCAATGCAAATGATTTTGTTGCAGAAGTTTTGAGGTTCCTCTAGGTGCTGTTTGGTGTATTGTAAGTGGGCTGTTGGGATTTACCCAGCATTTAATCTCGGCTGGACTCTTTATTGAAAGGTGCACATTGACTCCTCTTATGTTCTTCAAAACCAAGCTGCCCAGGTTGGACAGAGATACTCACTTTGACTTGGTGATAATAAGGGAGTCACTGAAAAGGAACAGGTGCCTCTCTTGGGTGTGCGATCCGCTCGATAGATGGACCCTTTCTTTCAGGATGAACATGTTGTTGGGGCTACAGAAGGATCCAAGGAGAAGACTACCCCCACAGTGGGAAGGAACAAGCGTGATCTGCCTATGGAATAAATAAATGAGTAATGAGTCAATATATCTTCAGTATTGTTGTAGACCACACGTGGATTTGTTCATAACTCTGAAGAAGGGGGCCCTTGCAACCCTAAAAACGCATTGGCTTTCCATGGCAAATTTAAATAAAGGTGTAGAGGAGCTTCCATTCTCCACCTCGTCTGCAGAGTCCTACAATAGAGCTGCCAGCTAACTCCCATATAAAAGTCATGATTCCATAGAACAGGGGTAGGCAACTTTAGCACTCCAGCTATTGTTGAACTACAAGTCCCATAGGGCATTGCAAGACTCTGACAGCCACAGGCACGACACCCACGGGATGGAATTTGTAGTTTCACCACAGCTGGGGTGCTGAGGTACACCTGATATAGAACATACTGATTGATTAATCCAGCTGTCCTCACTATCACATTAATATTGATCTTTTCGTTTCTGCCCTTGTTACAGACTTTCCCGCACTTCCGGTCCAGTGGATATTTATGTCCTATTTATAATCAATTCAAAGGACCCATCTGTGAATGTTCATTTTGGGTTAAAATTGGCCAAACAAACATTCTTAATATATAGTTTTCCCAATTTAAATGCATTGTGATGTAATACGACATTATGGCCACTAGATGGAACTAAGGGGCATTGTAAATACATACTTCTTCCAATGCTCCTCAACTCCATCTAGTGGCCATAGTGTAGTATTACATCACAATACATTCAAATTGGAAAAAACTAGAGTATGTATTAAGAACCTTCTTATCGGAGGAGGGGGGTTCGTTTGAATGTATTTGTATTATGATGTAATACTGCATTATGTCCATCAGATGGAGCAAAGGGCCCTGCAGATTTTTATAAATAGACCCCAAAGTGTGTGGAAATCTCTTTAACATAGCCCTGGATGGCAGCAAAAATCTCATACACTCGAAAAACAAATGAGCTGGACACTTTACTTTAATACACTTCAATGTGCGCAACATCCTTTGCTCCAGTTTGGACCCCGTCATGTCCTGGCCTACACACGGCTTAATGTGTAATTTTAGGTTTTCCTGAGATTTTTCCATTCATGGTCCCTCCACGACATCTATTCGAGGACCAGATGAAGGAAAAGTCCTGCAATCTCTCAAGAACATCTTGGTGAAATCTCCTACAAAAACTTCCACCTCAAAAATAAACTTCACCGTAACCCAACAACATTGAAATTTGGAAAAAGAGATCCGGATCCAGAACAAAAGGTCAAAGGTTCCCGAAATCAAAGAATTCCCAGGAAAAAGGTGAGCTCAGGCAAGAGTCACCAAACTGGTCTAAGGAACACAACAAGAACAGAGAGTCTTGGCTTTTCTTCTTTTTTTTAGCCCTCGGCACACTGGGGAAATGGGCACATTTATAATGCGGCTTCTGTTCTAAAATCGGAGTTGGCAGGAACACAAAATTGTGAATTCTAAGTGAATTCCAACAGGAAAACCAACAGGATGCCTGGAGCGTTGCATTCTCCAGAGTACGACTATAAAACAACAGGAAAATAACCGGCCGCCATGAAACGGTTATAAATGTAATCTCATCTTCAGTCCTGTCTGGATGACCTTGCCCTGTCCTTGGTCACGCCTTGCCTTCCAAGCTGTGAAAGGACGTGCCTCAGCCTCATTGGAGCTTGTGACAGATACTCGAAATAGCGTTTCCTCACTCTGAATGTGAGGATGTAACTGTGTGCAACATTTGTTGGGTCCTGATACCGATCAGCAATAACATTCTGACCACTGTGAGGTGAATAACATTGATTATCTGGTTACAATGATACCTGGAAGTGGGGGAATATATTACAATGACACCTGGAAGTGGGGGGAATATATTACAATGGCACCTGGAAGTGGGGGAATATATTACAATGACACAAGAAAAAGATTTCGGAAAGATTCAGACATAAACTGAATAAGGACCTTAGACCCACTTGCTTAATTTATTTTGAAGTTTAATCATTCTTTAAACTACTGTCAAAGCACTGTCTCCTCAAACATCTTTGAGGAACATCCGGCATTATACAATACGCTGATCAGCTCGTCCAAGAGTGAATGTGTGTGTTTTTTATGAGTGAACGGGTTGTTGCAATGACCATTTCTTAGACGTTTATTGGGTGTTGGTTTTACAGGTACATTGAGTATGTCCAAAAATCTTTTTTAATACTAAATACATTTATAAATTTGTACTAAATATTGACTCTCCGACCCTTCTTGATCAGCTGCACTTTGAGTTGACTCCTATTGGTTCTTCTCACCCCTTTTTTCTTGTGTCTAATTTAAGCAGCTGGGGGTTGTTTCCCTCTGAGAGCCACTTAAAAACTAGTACGCCCAAAATTGAATGGGCTAACTAAGTCAGGGTTTGGTACTCTGGGTAAGCCGTCCCTTTTTTCATATGTATTACAATGACACCTGGAAGTGGGGGGATATATTACAATGGTACCTGGAAGTGGAGGGATATATTACAATGACACCTGGAAGTGGGGGGATATATTACAATGACAAATATCTTAGGCAGGAAGTGAACATTTTGTCCCTAAACTTGATGTGTTGGAAGCAGAAAAAATGGACAGGTGTGAGGATTTGAGTGACTTTGACGAGGACCAAATTGTGATGTCTAGACGACTGGGTCACAGCAACTCCAAAACGGCAGCTCTTGTCGGATGTTCCCGGTCTGCAGTGGTCAGGACCGACCAAAAGTGGTCCAAGGAAGGAAAACTGGTGAACTGGTGACAGGGTCATGGGCGGCCAAGGCTTATTGATGCATGTGGGGAGCAAAGGAGGCCACACCTCGTAACTTACAGGACCTACTGCTACTGACAGCTTGGTGCCAGATACCACAACATACCTTCAGAGGTCTAGTGTAGTCCATGCCTGGATGGGTCAGGGCTGTTTTGGTTTAAAAAGGGGTAGCCACTCAATATTAGGTGGGTGTTCATAATGTTATGGCAGATCAGTGTATATGTTAGGTTCTCTAGTGAAAATGTTTGCCAAATGAGAACTTAGCTTTACCTATCCCTGATTGAGATTGTGTGCAAATACTGATTCTGCCGAAATTTCCCCAATTAGCATTGGGACATATGACAGGGAGACTCAATCATGGGTTCCTCCTATTAAATAAATAAGAGGAATTCAAGGCCTACATACACTTTGCTTTCGCCTTCTTGATTGTCTCCGATGCAAATTGGGGGACATTTCACTAGAATCAGTATTTGCAAACAATCACAGTCAGGGATGGGCAATGTTAAGTGTTTTCATTTGGCAAAATGTGGGCAAAAATTGGGGGAAATGAGAACTCTAAGTTTTTCCCATCCCTCACTGATTGTTTGCAAATACTTATTCTGGTGAAATTTCCCCCAATTTGCATTGGGGTCAACCAAGAAGGCCAAAACAAAGTGCGTGTAGACCTTGAACTTCTCTTATTTATTTAATAGGAACCCATGAATCAGTGTCCTTGTCACATGTCTCCGGGTGTATGTAATTAAGTCAGCGGAAAGATTTGAGGCAACCAACGAAATGCAGTTAAAATGAAAGTAAATCCTAACAATAAACTTCTCTTTTCCATTTTGTTAAACAAAAAAAATAGAAACCGAAGATTGTATCTGTTACAAAGCGCTTCCATCATAACTAGATCATCCAATCTCCTTCCCCTGCGTGTTTCGGCAATGGATACCATGTGTGTTACAATAAACTTGATAAACTTTATTATAAAAGAATTAAACAAATGTAATATTTGGAGAAATAATTTTCCTGAATCTATCACAAGCCGGCTCAGTAGATCGGGAAGTGAGCGAACGCATACCGTCACTCACTCACTTATCGATCCTGTCCCTGCAGAGAGTTGTAACTGTCTCTCACGGCTCCTTGCAGAGATGCCCCCCCTCCCCTGTCCTCTTCCAATGCTCCTCAGCTCCATCTGGTGGCCATCATGTAGTATTACCTCACAATACATTCAAACTGGAAAAAATACAGTATGTATTAAGAGCCTGGCGGAACGGACGGGGGAGGGGGCGGGTACAGCTGGCTCTGTCTCTAGATAGGCAGAGTCAGCTGTCAGTCACGCAGCTGGGTGGATCTCGACAGTAATGTTGGGATCCGTCCCGGCTGCGACGGTCTCAGTATACCAGGAGCTGTAGCTGTATACACAGGAGGACATAAACTAGCGTCCTCCTGTGACACTTAGGAGAACTATTAGGAAAAACACTTACCCCATAGTTCTCCTTTAATATAATACATTTTAACAGACTAAGACATAGCCTTGAACTTTTTGGATTTGTCCCGCGTAGAGGGTGAGAATTAGGTCTTCTGCATTTGCTACTACAGAGAGCTCCCTGGTGCCCAGCCTTTGGCCCTTTTTGTGCCTCCTGTGCGTTGCCCTCAAGGCCCCTGCAGATAGTGGTCAAGTGTTTACTTAGGTCATTGAAGAGAAAATAAAATATTCTTTAGGTTGGCTTTGTGCAGTTGAATGGCTTATAGCTGGGCGAATGACTTTCCCAGTGCATTGCTGCCACTAGATGGAGCCTTAAGAGCATAGGAAGTGCCTATGCTTCTTGGCTCCATCTAGTGGCAGTGATGCATTGCGAATGTTGTTCCCGAAGCTATATACTGGGCGAATGTGTTATAAATCATGAATAGAAATAGGGACACCGGCACTCCAAATCATTTCTATTCATGTACGTAACGGTTACCATCCGTTGACTACCGGAGCACCCAACCGAATCCTGTGGAATTAGCGGTCAGGAGGGCGATGGGTCATAAATTAGCCCCTTAATGGGGGCCTAGAAAGGAGTATTTTTCCTAACCGTTGCTGTGTGATTCGTTTGAGTACGGGTTCAAGTTTCACTGCCTGCTCTGCGCAATAAAACGTCTGCTCGCCTATAGGCAACCTAACAGAGTCTAGGGTGGGGCACACATATTTATTCATTGATTGATTTGATTTATTTGGTTACAAAGAGAAATTTGGGATTCTTTAAACACATTTTTTTTACATCTTTCACAAGATTATTAGCTGGATGAAGTCCTTCACTGAAGAAGCTTTTTGGATGAGTAGCGAAACGTCATCAGCATTACAGAACAGGTCCAGCTGAAGGTGACTAGATAGCTATACCATGAACTGGATAAATGAGGCCTTTAAAGACTCTTGCCTTCTTTATCCAAATCCACTATAAAAGCTTTAAAGGAGAACTATGGGATCAGGGCTTTTCCCCATAGTTCTCCTTAGGGTAACGGGAGGACACAAACTAGCGTCTTCCCGTCACCCAAAGCTCAGTATACCACGAGCTACAGCTCGCGGTATACTGAGACGCCGCAGCCGGGACGGATCCCGACATTGCTGTCGAGATCCACCCAGCTGCGGGATTGAC